CTTTCTGCAGTGTTTTTCTTGTTTCTAAATTACTGTAAGGTTTGCATTGTTGACTTGCCCCACCTTGGTTTTGGTTCTAATATTGGACTGGAACATCAAGTAACTTTCTCATTGCTTATAAAAGAAAATATCTTTTCTGTTAGTGGACCTTCTAATCACTAGGATGCAAATGTTTTCAAAGCCATGACTGAGGGAGCTGATATTTTGTCTTTCATTAGGTTCAGCGAAGCAAGAACAGATGGAAATTCTACTTGAAAGATGGTGTGATGTGCTTTGGGGGAAAGGACTACATTTTCTCCAAAGCCATTGGAGATGCAGAGTGGTGAAAGTTTCAGAAATATCTGCAGTATTTTTAAAAACTGCTTTGTAAAATTCAGTAAGGAAATATTGAAATTTTTGTGCTCTGAAAAAAATTCACATGAACAAAGTATGTGACTCTATAAAAAATCCAGTGTTGAAAATTACTGTGTTTATTGATCAAGCTCCATTTAATTTGTACGAATCAGTAAATTATGTGTGTGTGTGTGTGTGTGTGTGTGTGTGTGTGTATCCCTCCCTCCCCCCCACTCTTGCACACAAATTTCCCCTTATTCCTTCCTCCAAACGCACATAAGTCATTCAGGAAGGCTTACAGCAATTGAAATCAATATAAAAAACTGAAAACATTTTGATGACAAAAAATGGAAAACATATCTTGTAAATCATAGTGGGCAAAGACAAGAAATAGCAACTTTGACATAATCTCTGGAGACATTATCTCTGGAGGGGTGGCACATAAAAATACAAGAATACCCCTGCTGCCAAGGCCTGTCTGAGGCAAGTATTTTGTTTCTCACAGTGGCTCATCAGAGATTTTAGGAGTGCTCATAAAAAGCAATAGAACTATTTAACTATTAGCTCTTCCAGCTCCATTGATGCTGCTAGCCACCAAGCTGACAATAGTGCGCTGAGTATCTCAGCATTGAGTTCAACTGGCTTGAAAAAATTCCAAAAATATTAGTCGGCTCTCACAGGCTGGTGTGAGCCAGCTTCATATATCACTGCAGACATGTATCTTTTGAGCCCATGAGTTTCGGAGTCCAACGAGACTGAGCTTGGTCTCCATAGTAATCTTTCATTATTTATCCTTCCATTTTTTTAAAAAAAAGTGATTTGTAGTTGAGTGTGGAACAGAAGATTGGTCACATTTATAATTATAAGCAAAATATATTTTTGTTTTAAAATATGCTATCCTCCCCCCCAAGAAATGTAATATATACTATATATGGCTATCTAAAAGTCCATTTTTCATGCTTCTTCCCCCATAAGCAGCATAGACAATCTACTTTCAGAAGGCATAGACCCTGAACTAAAACGATTATCTTCTTAATTGCTGGGAGATAGTTCTATGACCATCAATAATACCCATCTCTATTTAGAGTAAAGTCATAACCCCCATCTGAAGACTGTTAAATTGGTAGCTGTTACCAGTTTTTGTGTAAACACATTTTTTAGTTGGTAAGAAGTACAGGGAGCAAAGCTTAAAAGACCAGTTGTCATAGTAAGCTATCAGTGTAGGAGGTGATTGTGGATGCAGCACAGAATAAATACAATTCCCTTTGAAAAAATACTGTTTTTTTAAAAAAGGGAGATCAAATGATAGGTCTGTGTGGGCAAATTAGTAGCATTTTTAGTGTAGCTATAAATCTGGATTGTTTGGTGCAAAGGTAAAATGCTTATTTCATATTCAAAAATATTGGGGATCACTACTTCCCATATTCCTAATTGCTACTTCCTAATTGAACAATTAGATCCAAAGACCACATGGGATATCTCAGTAAATAGTAACTCCTAGTTGACCTTGTCTGGGCTTGGAAGTTAAGCAAGATTAGATCTGGTTACAACTAAGATGGGAGAACAATCGGGAACAGTTGATATCTAAGTGAGTGTTTCTCCACCGTAGTAACTTTAAAATGTATAGAGTTCAGCTCCATACAAGAAAAGCTCTCAGTCTTTCCTTCCCTCTTGACCTATTGACTCTTCCTCCATATATTAGTTTTGCAACTCAGTCATTTATTCACTCTTTCTATATAAACAAGCCATGCCAATGTATTCCTTTCATGCCTTGCACTCACTTTTGTATCCATGTTTCTTCAGCAACTTTAACAGGTGTGGACCTCAAATTCCAGTATTCCCCAGCCAGCTGCCAAGGTTGAGAAACACCGTTGTAGAAAATCTAGTAAATTTGCTAGAAGGGAAATACAAGAAAGAGAGGGAAGTAGGGGCATCTGGAGGATATGGTAAAAAAAAAAAGGCAGAGATTGTGACAAAAATGATGAGATGGAGGCTCTGCCTGGAGGGGAGAGAACATTCACCTTAAAGCTGCCCCATTCGGAGCAAGAATGCTAACATTTCTATGACTTTTAAATGGTCTAATTCAGGTGCAGCTGCTTAGCAGTGAATAAAAGAGGATGATAACACCAAGAATTGGTCTCTACCACAGAGTGATTGAAACCAAATGATGTCTGCTGAGATACATAATTCATAAGTCTACATTACATTCAATTTCAGTGCTTGGCATCCCTAGGTAGGTCTGGAAAGGCCCTGTCTAAAACTATGAAGGTTTCTGGCAGTCTAAGATCACATATTAGCATAATTGTGACTCCATTGCAAAACCATGGTTAAGAAAACATCATAGTTTGATGCAATGGTTGAATCCAAGGAGTGGGTGGCCTATTCTGAATTGGGATGCACCACTGATCTAAGTAGAAAAGGCTTTTCTTAGAATTTTGAAAGCAGAACTTCTGATCTTTTGCTATAGAACTTTTATATTCTGAAATTGCAGCACAAACATATTTTATGTTGCAGAGATGCAAAGCATTCAAATGTATCATCATTCTGCTATTGCAGCAGGTTGTCACAAACCAAAGTCAGATCTTATTGGCAGTTTTTTAACTGTGGCATTAAAACTTTTTAAGTTCCCAGTTAAGAAATCGATGGAAGCATAATTAACTCTGATTTACGTTTTAAAGGCATTTGTATTCTTGCATTAAGGACATGTTCCATTATGTTATCTACAGAAGTGTCGATTCATTCTCCAGCAAATCCATGCAAAGTGTCTTGCTAATTTCCCCTTTTCTATAGTTATAAACTGAGAGCATATTGGTGCAATGCATCATTGTGGATTTGAAAGAAATTGCTAATTTCTTCCACAAGCATGTTTGCAGGCTTGCAGACCGACTGAACTGAAAAATTCCTAATCAAAACTGAAAGTGTAATAACACTGTAATGAGATTATACATGTATTTCACAAAGAAAGCTTGAGGCTAGGCAACAAGAAGGATGTGTTAGAAACACAATTCACATTTGGTTTTTAAATGACAAACTGAGATCTATATTTTTATTAGAATTTCTGTAAAGAAATAGATATCTCGTTACTTATTCCTCCAGCTGGCAAATTCTGGAACAGCTCTACCATGTATTAGTTTCCTTAGATGAGACATGAATGGAAATGAGCTTATCTTTTTTGTTTGTGGATACATAATGGAACCCACAGCAAACTATTACCAGTAAAAAGCTCCCAGTATAGGGGACTAGCTATAGCAAAAGACCACAAGTTCTGCTCTATTTTCCCTGCCTTTACTCCCAGTTTTCCACATCTCCTTCCAAGAACATCAGCTATAATTCCACAGTCAGTATATAATGTCCTCATTGAGTTGTCCTGGTGCTTTCTTTCTTTCTTTCTTTCTTTCTTTCTTTCTTTCTTTCTTTCTTTCTTTCTTTCTTTCTTTCTTTCTTTCTCTCTTTCTTTCTCTCTTTCTTTCTTTCTCTCTTTCTCTCTTTCTTTCTTTCTCTCGTTCTCTCTCTCATTCTCTCTCTCTCTCTCATTCTCTCTCTCTCTTTCTCTCTCTCTCTCTTTCTCTCTTTCTCTCTTTCTCTTTCTCTTTCTTTCATGCGTGTATTTGTATGTTTTTATATGAGAATGAAAGAGCCAGTATGTAGTGGTCAAGGTGCTCATTTGAGCCAGTTTCTAGTCTTCCCTTAGGCATGAAAGCTGGCTGGGCCAATCACTTTATCTCAGTCCCAAGAGTCCCAATATCAACCACAGTACCAGCCAATCCACATGAGCCAATGTTATATATGATGTTATAATCTTATACTTATAAATTATGAATATATCTTCAATGAAGGAGCTTTATCATTTTAAGTATTTGCAAATGTTGGAGTTTCATTCTTATACATGGGTGCTGCTTTGCAGTTCATTGGAAAGCACCAATTTAAGTAGCAGTTTGAAGAATAGATCGAAAAGAGCATGAGAAACACTATCAAACTTTACTGACTGTTAAGCTGTGATCATATTATGCCACGGTATATTGAAAAAGCCAGAAACAAGTCAAGGTCCATCCTGCATATGACAAAACATTCATGGGTTTTATCAATTCCTAGTTTGTTCTCTTTTTACCTGCTCTTGCTTGCAACTTAACAGGTTTGAGTAGAAATTCAAACCACAGTAGAAGCTTGTTATGAGCAGGGCACCTAGGCAGATGCAGGCTTCAATAAAGTCATTTATTGCTCTGCTATCCCATGACAAATGCCCTGATGCAGCCGCTAAAGTTCCACCCCAAACTTTCCCAAAGGCAGCCACCCACAGTCAGTGCAACATAGTCCCACAATCAAAAACAAGAGCCAGTTCACAAGGCAAGGAGGAAGTCCATAGTCCAAAAGTAAGGTGCAAGCCTACAAGGCAAGGTCCAGAAGTCTAAACAAGGTTCAGGATCCACAAGGCAAGGTTCAGAGTCCACAGGGTAGAAACACGATCCAAAGCAGAGGTGTTTTTTTCCAAGGCTGGTAAGTGTGTGGCAAGGCAAAACAATTGTTCCCAATAAAGACACCTCATCCTTACCTCTGATTAAATAAGCTCAAGCCAGGTGTTTCTTGTGAGGAGGGGTGGGTCAGTAGTCTCACAGACCTCCTTTGAAATCCCTCTGCTCCATTCTTTGCCCTCAGATTGAGAGGGGGAGGTAGCTATTCCTCATCAGAGGGGATCTGCTGCCTCTCATCATCACTGCCTATCTGCATCTGATTCTTCCCTGTGTCTGTGAGGAGAGGCAGCTCCCCATCTGGTTGCCTCCAATGCCAGAGGGACCTGGGACATCATCGTCCTCAGCCCCTGGACTCCCCAGACATTCCAGGGGAGATGTGCCGTCCCTGTCTGATGGTCCTGGTTCCCAACTCCTCTTCCTCTGAATGGGGATCTGATGAGACCATGACAAAGGTTAGCTTGGGCAGGATGCATCAGGAATAAGCCATGAAACAACATGCAACCCATACATCCTCCACATCACAGTATACTAGAGAAAGTGGCACATTTATCTTTAGTCTCACTATCAGGTGGAACAAAATTCCAGG